TATTGTTGATTTTTATGTATGTTTGTACAATCATGTATACATATGTAGATATGTACATGCATATATGTATGTACATAGTAGGACTTGCTAATGTAAATGTGATGCCAAACAAATAAATTAGAAGGAAGCAATGGAAAGTCATTTAGTTCGGTTAGTCGACGCGTATCTTTGAGTTGAGTGTGTTTCTTATTTTCTACTTCAAGTACTGAGTGATTAAAATCTCCAAATATTTTTGCAATTTTGCATAAATGCTATTTTAAGTGCAAATATATACATATGTATGTATGTGTGTATATAGTTATTTTAGTGCTGATGGATTCATGTATTTTTCATAAATATTTTGTTTGGCGACCCTATGTGCTGTGCGAAATTCCTTACCGCGGTTGTTGACTAAGAAACATTGAAGTGAAATTTTCAGTTCTATTCTGCACGTTACTGATGATCGGAAAATTGTATTACTAGAGATGACAGCGATTAATCATTTGATTAAATTAATCCATTATTTTTGTCCAATTTACGATTTAATTGTATAGTAAGTTGTTTTGTGTTGCATTAATCGATTGATTGTAAAATAATCTCAAAAATATATTCGTTTCAAAAACGCCCTATCTCAGCTGTCGATTCAAAAACGCCATATATCAGCATATTTTCAATACATTTTGAAGTGAGATAGGGCGTTTTTGAACCGAATTTTGAGATAGGGTGTTTTTCAATTAAATTCTGAAGTAGGGCGTTATTGAAAAGTTTTTTGAGATAGAGCGCTTTTGAACTAGCTGCCGAGATATGTCGATCTTCCACTCAGCCATCGATATGCTGTTGGAAAATATATAGTATGCAAAAATACTATATTTATTCAGTTATAAATATAAATATATTTCAATAATTTGCAAGAAAAAATGCGTATAAAAATGGAATACTGAAATATGTATGTATGTATACTAGGGCGGAGTAATTTCATTTCGAAAAAAGTGTACGACATATTCGAATTATATGTTCGATTGTAAGCAAAAATGGTGAACAAACCACATATTACACACCTAGATCTAAAGTGAGCTAACTCGAAATTCAGAGAGGAAAATTTACTGCTTCAACAGATTCAACGTAGTTAATACAAAAAAATTACTTTTTAGTTAATGTATATAGTCATGAAGAAAAAAATATCTGCATTAATTGGATGTAAATCCTATGAATTGATTTATGCAAAAAAAAACGTCCACAAATTTTTTTCAGTTGATCGCACTTTAGATATAGGTGTGCGATATATGTATGTATGTACATATGTATCAGGGTTGTAGCGAATATTATTCCGAAATAAAATTCTTTTCCGGATAATAAACAAACCGCTTATCCAAATTAAAGAAATTTGGTATCAAATGAAAGAGGCCTTGAATAGCTTTAAAGCTGAAATGTCTAAACGAGGAAAGCCACATATTGAAAAATATGTTAATTAATTACCATAGAACAAACTTTGTGTCAGGTATACGCATTTCTTTAGTATTATATTATAAAAAAATATAAATAGAGGTCGTTCGTTATTTCTGTTTAAAAGCTATTTCAGTCCTCTTTCATATGATACCAAAGTTGTTTAATTTGGACACGCCGTTTATTTATTATCCGGAAAGGACTGAACAAATTACTCCGCCCTAATGTACACTTAAAAAGCGTAACTTTTTCTTTTAAATGAAATACTACATATGTATATTTGAACTGTACTATATTTTTTTTAAACTTTTTGAAAAAGTACTGTAAATGTCTTAGAAAATGTTGGCAACCCTAGTGCCTGCTGAGCACCTTTTTCCAAAAGCTGGCGCTAAAGCCACCGAGAAACGTAACCGTTTAACAACAAAACATTTATCAAAGCTTTTGTGTTTACAAACTTAGCTAAATAATAAATAATTATCGTCAGCTGAAAAAAACATGAAATAACTACTACTCCCTAACTACTGATAATAAACAATAAAAGCTACACGTATGTAGTTGTAAGCTGCAACTAATAAAATGAATCTCTTGGATTTTAATTTTCAAGTTACGACTTCAATTGAAGAAAATAGTGTGCACTTCAATAATGATAGTGAAAGATAAGAAACGATTGCACACTAAGGTGGTCCAATGTTAGACAAGTTCTATATCGAAAATATATACCAATGTGTTTTTTTTTTTGAAAGCAAAATATATTTAGAGGTCGCTCAAAATTGCCCATGAATTTTTTATGGGAAAGAAACTATTTTTCGTAGAAATCGGCAAACTCTGTTTCTTTCAGGAGACTTCAAAGAATAATACCCAACTGTTTATTTAACAATTTTTTTAATATTAACTATTTTTTATGGGTTCTCCCCATTCCATTTTTTTTTTGGGTTTTTTAGGAACCAATAAAAAAAGTTTTATCTTAATAGAGAAACAGAGTTCACCGGTTAAAAAATATAGAGGTTGTTCACACTTGCCTGGTTATCAGGTTATCTGGTTAAAAAGTATTGTTCTGTAGTGTATTTTATTGTTGTAAACCGAATAAAAAATATAACCACATAACCAGTCAAGTGTGAACAACCTCATAGATTTTCATTTATTTTATACCGTATCTACGTAAAATTACCTCCATATAAAATGCATGGGAAACTTTGAGCGCCTGGAGCGACCTCTAAATATTTTTTCATTAAAAAAAAACAAGGGTATATTTTTTCGATATAGAACAATCATAGGGGTTGAGAGCATTAAAATTCCGACTTTACTTTCTTTGGACTACCCTAATGCACATACATACATACATACATGAGTATACTTGAGTTCAGTATCTTCGATGTTATTGTTTGGAAGCGTTGATAAAACTGTTAATGGGGGGTGTTATAATAATTATACCGTTACATTGCAAAGGTTGTAAAGATCAACATACATAAATAAGCGTCAGTTATTCAAGCCTCTTAAAATAGATTAGAAAGCAAATCGGAAAGTGCAGATGTTTGAAAAAAAAACAAACAAGTCGCTGACGCCTTCATCTACTTGCATATCAGCACTACAAGCCTTATTTGTCGTTAAAGGATGTGTCTCGAGAATTCGGCTACAAAAAAATAAATACAGTGCAGTTTAAAAAATAGTAGTATTCTTTTAGGCTATGCGCTGACATGCAATTTTTCGTTTTGTCAATTTTTTGCTGCATTTTCTCATTTTCCACGTGTATACATACAAACGTTAGCAGTTTCGACAGTCAGCAAAATGATTGCAAATGAGGGCGCTTTTATTTAGTACAATACTGGTAGGTGGGTTGAAGTGGCGAATATAGCAACTCACTCCAATTAGCCATAATGCATACGTGCCCGTTTTAAAACCATAGCTTCTGGCTCATAACATCTAGCTAGCTTTTTATAAAAAGTTAAAAAAAAAAATCTGGCTATTAAGGCACACATTCCGGTTTCTGGTTACCCGGCACCGACTTATACTCCACGGGAACTAAAATTTAAAGTTATTGTTTTGTTATTTTCACCATATTCTGAAAAAGCAAACTGCATTGCAAATGTTAATATCGTTCAAATTATTAGAAAGTAAAATATATGACACACTTTTCAATTTTCGCCTAGTAGTCGCCTCTACACACTTTGTAGCAACTGCAGTTGTCATTTGAAAGTTGCCTGTTGCTCCTAATAGAGTAGATTATTTATTTTTACAAGGATTGCATTAACTAGTATCTTACACCTGTCAAACACAACAGCTTTTATTTACTTACTTTAAATCATTTAATATATTTAATACTCATAGATTTACGTATGGATGTACATATGTATTAACAAAAATTTAAAATCAGCTCGAGATAAAGATTCTATATATATATATATGCACATAGTGCCGATACCCTTTGGTATTTACTTCTTATATAAAGTTCTAGAATCAAGTGCAAAATTGAAATGCATATAATCCGGTAGTTTAGCCTTCACTTGAAAAATATAAATGTAATTTCGCTGAAGTACCGAAAAAGTGGAACTGACAAAGCGCTTATTTCCACGTAAGAAGTCGCTGTTGACATGGTCTTAACAATCATTAATTTATCAAGTGCCCTGTCCTTTTTGACTTTTGACTTCAAATGTTTATTAAATTGTTAAGTTCTTCATCACACTCTGCTGCAGTTGTTTGCGTAGGGTTATTATCAATCTAAATACATACATATATACATTTTTATTTTTAAAGTGGCATAAGTCACTTTACACCTCTTGTACTTTAATTACCGGTTACTTGTATCTGGACGCGTCGGCTATTTGTTCAACTTGATCAAACAAAGGTAAAAGGTTCTGTCATTAATTTATGACGATAAAAAAAAATATTTAGAAATGCCTTCGGTTACAAGTAACAGGTCATTTAAGCACAAGAGGTATGAAGTGACTCACGCCACTATCAAAATAAACGGCTCACATATAGGGTTAATTAAATTTACATGCGTCATGCAATTAAAATGAGCCTAATTACATTTTACTGTTTAACTATTTATTAGCAGGACTTGGTTGTTCGAGGTTACGCCTCAAATACAACAGAAATTTTGAATTTATCGACTTATACATAGCACTTCGATTGATAATACAACATTGTAAATTGCCGGTAAAAATGCTATTCAATTACAACAGAACAGCACAATTGACACAATCACTCTTATTTCTTAATTGAAATGCATTATTAAAATGCAGAAGCATTGAACTAGAATCTATTTACTAGAGCCAAAATTGGGAAGTTACTGGACAATTGAGGCATTTTCAAGCTAAGGTTCTAGTGATAAATAAGCTGCCCCTGCTGTTGTTGCAGCGGTAGTAGTAAGCCCCGCCGGACACATATCAAAAGTATTGGGTTCGAGTCTGGGCAGGTAGCTGTTGAGACGGCTGCAATATCCAGACCACAACTGGGCCAGAGTAATAAGCTGGCCCTCTTACTCTCCGCTTTTCTATTTTAAAAGCTTGCACTATTTCGATAAATTAATTAATGCTTATTTATTTATTATTAAATTTTACAAAATCTTTCTTCAACAGGTTTTTCGTAGTGCCACTTCAAAAATAAATAAAATAAAATGTTGCCGCTTACTATATGCAATGCTGCGATATTTCTCTTGCAACCAGCGATAATTGACGATTTTACGTCAAAGAATAAAAAATAGATATTTAGAGTAAACATAAAAGTCCTACAGCATTATAAAAACAACATATTTATTTACTTATTCAAGATCATCACTCAAGCATACATACAATATGTATGTATGTATGTAAGTATTTACATATATGCATATAAACACGAAAAATATTTGCAAGGGCGATAAAATGTCGAGCGAAGGTCTAAAGGAAATTAAAAACTAAATGAGCGGTAATATATAATTTGACCAAGCCAGAAAAAAATTCAAATTCGAGCAATTCCTTGTTACGACTGTCTGTGAAAATGAGTCGTGAAGAGCCAAAATCGCGTACAAGCAACAAAAACATAACTCATCCCACCATCAGCACCACTAACTCCTCCCCCACCAATAACACACATACAACAATAGTGTCAACTACTGCAACATCATCAATCAGTTATACCACCTGCAGTGATGCAACAACTACGAATTCTAACACAAACACCGCAGCATTCCTAACAGCCACTAGCTGCAGCGGCAGCGGCAATGACAGTGTCAACAGCGTTAGTGGCATAATCTCTACTTCAACGCCACATAAGCGTTGTGATGCTGCAGCTGAATTTAGCTGTGGAGGCAGCGATGGCAGTAAGTCCGCCGCCGCCATGGGTGATGCGCCCAACGCTTCGTTACGTGAAATGCTAGATGCTGCCTTTAATCCGGACGATAGCGTTGCCACAACATTTAATCCGCCGGGCAGTCGCAACTTGAGCTCCATTTCAGCGCCGGCTAGCTTTAACAAATCTTCCTCAACTAATAACTCAACGGGAAGCCCGGTAGCAAAACGTCACCTGAGCGCCACCGCACATGCACGCATGCGCCCACAATCAAGTTATTCGGCACGTGCGCTGGTTTTTGATGATTCCGATCAGGAGTTGGGCGCGAGTGGTGGCAGTGGCAGCGGCGGTGGTGGTAGCCCACGTATCAGCAGCAAGCAGGAAGCTAGTGTGAACGCTGCCAAGTCCTCAACTGGGTTGGAAATTTTGACGGCGTCGCCGAAAGCAGCTGGCGGGGATAATAGTGCCAGCAACTCATCGTTGACAACATCGGTGTCTTTGTTGCGTAACTCGAACCTGACCAAGTCGTCTTCGGGTGGGCTTTCGGGCAGTTCAGTGTCATTGCCGGGCCGCAGTTATAATGCGCTATTGCGTAAGATCTCCTACCAGCATGGATACTCCATGCGATCGTCGAGCAACGGTAAGTGTTTTATGATTACACTACACAACCCACAGTGTATTCTTTTTTTGCCCCGCGAACGAGACTTGCCAATTTTCATAGATTTTAGGCCGATAAATACAAATCGGAAGTTTAAATCTCATAGCTAGTTTTTTCTTTCCAACCTAAAAAATAGATTTATAAGAATCTCTAGTCTCGTTTGCAGGTCAAACTTTTGTTTGTGGGGCTGTGTTATATTTATATATTCACAAATTTCACAGACCCATACAAATTTTAGTGTATACAGTGTTTTAAGTAGGTACTGATGTTTAATTTTATTTTCATATCGAGCTTTCACCGCTAAAAAATGTGAGCGACATTTTCTTAAAAAATTTAGTTTTGATCGTTTTGATGAAGAAATGCTCCTAACTGTTTTGGTTATTGGCCGTTTAATATAATTTAATAATTTATTTTTGAGCTATAGGCCGTATGTTAAATAAAACATTAAACGTTTTT